AGTAAGGGTGGGCTGACTGGAAGAGAGGGAGAGGCGGGCGGGGGATGGATGGGTGTCTTGGGTGTATGTGTGTAGCTGGATGGATAAGCAAGCCCGTCTGCCTGCCTGCCTGCCTGCTGATGACTCCATTCACGCATATGATGTGGTCGTGTGTGGGGATGGATGGATGGATTGGCTGCTGTGTGCACATTTCTGCTGTGTATGTGAATGTGTAGATACATACCTATACACAGATGAAGGAGGGAGACTGATTGGGTGGGACGAACGATCCATCACGTGAAAACTGTGCCGAATCCCTCATCCTTTCACCTCACTCAAGAAATAGCAATGGTCCCACACTGCATCTCCCCCCCTCCCTCCATCAGAGTATCTGGCTACACCCATCAATCTATTGTGTATACCAGCACCCCATCCATTATCACCATTCCGGCTCCTCCTTGACCCGCACCAGCGGCGCCACCTCCTGCTTGACCGGCCGATCGAAGAAGTACCGCTCGCACCGCGCCGCTCCGCCGCTCGAGGGGTCGCTGCTCTCGCGAACATCCTCTGTCGTCCGGCAGGAGGACATGCCGATGCGGTAGACGCGCTCGTGGTGCTGGAAGGGCCGCTCGGCGAAGTCGGCCGCCCGCGACTCATGCGCCTCCTCTGCACCCGACGCACTGTCGCGCTGAGGGCGATGAGTATCGACTAGCTGTGCAGCCGACAAAGGCAACGGACAAGAGCAACAAAGGCATGAGCGCTTCCTTGGCGGCGCTGGCCCCTCCCCCACCCACCCACTGACCATTTCGTCACCGAGCATCCATTTCGGCAGGGGCTGGTCGTCATCGTACTCGGCAAATGGCGGCATCTGGGACAGCGGGATGCGGCTCGTGTCCTCGAAAACCGCACCGACAACATTCTCGGCCGCTGCACACTCCGAGGGCGGTGAGGGGCACAGAGGCGGCGGATGGGCGCCCTCGGTGTAGGCCGTCAACCACTGAGAGGAAGGGAGAGAGCGGAAACAGCGACACACAGACACGTGGCATGGATCCATGGTGTGTGAGGGA